ATGTTGAGGATAATATTTCCCCATTTTTAAATACACATTAGCAAGCAAATGAAAAAGAAATAGAAGAATCTGAAGTTCCTTAAAAGTGGATAGAAAATCATACCCAAATTTGCCAATATAGCCTTAATATTAAAAAATGTAACAATGTTTCCTGCTGTAATCCTAAAAAACATGAAGAGTCAGCTACTTTTCTTGCTAAAAATAATGGATTTTTACCACCAGTTTTAAAAGGTCGAGATGGGTATTTTCTCAATCCAGTCCACATTCTACAATATGCTGACAAATTAAAATTGCCACTTTATGATGCTCATTGTCCTTCTATTTTATCAGAGTAGCACATCTACCTTTGCTGTACTGTATGTGATAAATATTTTCCAACATTAGCAATGGTAACAAAACACAAAAAATCAGAACATATTTCTAAAAGAAAGCCTTGAAAAACAAAAATTTCCAAATCTATTGATGATTTTGGTATACTTCCAGCTGGCTCTTCTCGAAGAATAGTTTTAGATTCTAGCTGTGAGTGTATTTCAGATTGTGAATAAAAAAATTTTGGTAAAAGCATTATGATGTAATTTGTATTACACAATAAAGTTAAAGTTTTTAATCTAGTTTTAATCTGGTAAATTTAAGGTCTAATCTTATGATCAAATAAGGAAATTGGGACCTGAGACAATCCATATACACCCCTCCCCCCTATCATATCAGTTAATATCTGTCACAGCCTTAATTCAGCAAATGGAGAAGGATTTTTACGTATGATTAATAAGCTTGATCCTGCATTTAAGCCATCATATTATGTAACGATCAAAAAAGATATTGGTTATGGATATCAAGCTGCATTTCAGGCTATAAAGGAAATGATTACTCATACCTATGATACAGCAGCTATAACTACAGATCTTTAGATATCTCGTGTAAAATCAGGTTATATCAGAATTACATATCATTGGCTTACAGAAAATATGGAATTATATGATATATTAATTTGTGTTGCACTAATTAATTATCCTTAAAATGGCAATAATATCTACTAAACTATTTTAACTAAACTTCAACTGCTTGGATTAAATAGTAAAGTAAATGTAGCAATTACTGATAATAGTAATAACATGATTAAAATTATTCATAAATAGGATGGTATTAATCATATTTCATATAATGCATATATATTGCAGTTTTGTGTTATTAAGGGGTTAGAAAAAATTTAATATAATTTTATAATAACCTCTCGTGTAATATATCGGTTATCTCATGAGGGAGGGTTGAGAATCTGTTACTAGCCAATCAGCCAAAGCATTCCTTAATTCACGTGCTTAGGTTCTTTATGTAGCATAACTTTTTTATTTGATCATCTACTTTTAATTGTTTCTAAAAAGTAAATTTAATATATATTTATCTGTAATAAAAATGCGTAACAATAATGTTGTCTTACCAACTTTTCTTTTTCAAACTCTTTATAAACAGAATTTAAATGATGTTGTTGAGTGCTGGTTTGAGTGTTATACATGCAACTATAATTACACTCTTCTTCTATTCCATTTTTTAATATTTTATATCTGCAATAAGCACGACTGTCAGTTTTGATTCCAAAATGCTTCCACACCCAACTTGTTTTATTATTTCCAAGTTCAACCCACTGAGGTTCTTGCTGATTAATATCTGAAGATAAATCAACAATATTAATTCTTTTAGTTAACCGGATCGAAATAATATTAGTTTGGCGTTTATGTTTTCTATTCTGGTCTGGCATTTAAAAGGATATTAAAAAAAAAAAAATTTGAATTTAAAAAAATTTTTCCTCCTTTTACGAATGTCATTGAACTTTAAAGGAATTTTTTTTTTCTTTTTTTTTTTTTTAATAATGATATTATTTAGTTTTGTTTATTGTTTATTTATACGCCATATTATATCATAATGACATAATCGATCAAACATAATAATTGTTAATCGATCATTCATAGAAATTTAATCGATTAAAAATCAATTAAAGTTAGTCCAATTTTGATCGATGGCAATATTCTGCGATCGACAAATTGATTGAAACAATCAATCATCGATTCGATTAAAAGCCCTAGTTGAAAATAACATGTCAAACTTTTCATCGAGCGAATAAATTAGTCTTTCTCTGAAATTTATTTTTCATAGGATTGAGTAATATTATATATAATGTCTTGGTTACCATATATTTGATACTAAAATACGTTAATTATTCATTATTTATCATATCCTCCTATACGATTCTTTATTTTATTACCCTAGACTAGTTTTTAATAATAAATAATAAATTCTTCATAAATACAGATTTACAGTATCCCATAAGAAAAATATATATAATTTTTCCTGTAAATTTGCAAAATTTGGTAATTTCGCAATAACCACACATTTAACCGTTCTGTTTATGGATCCCGTGACAATATATCTTAATTAAGCGTCGGGTTGTACAAGGATACCTAACCATTTTCGGAAACAATAACATGGGCGCAATGTCTTTTTTGTCAGCAATCTTGAGAATTTCAGGGCGAGCGGAACAAAATAAATATTTATTCATTTTCATAAACTTTAAATTTTTATCTCCTTCGTTCGTTTAAACATTAAAGGCTTTTTATAAAATGAGTCAAGAAACAACATTTGAGCGAGGAACGTCCTTAGAAAATGATTTTAGACGATTAATCAATGACAAACGATTTTTTGACATTACTTTAAAATGTTCGGATGAAAAGAAATTATCCTCATGTAAAGCTATTTTAGCAACTCGTTCCGACGTTTTCAACTCTCTTATATTTACCGAATCAAAAAATCACAACGATAATGAACTTTCATTTAGTAATATTAATTCAGATGCTATGAAAGTAATATTAGAATATTTGTATACGTCCAAGGTTGAAGAGCAAAGCTTAACTATTAATAATATTGTTGAAGTTTATTATGCTTCTATTCATTTTAAATTGACATCTCTTCAGGAA